ATAGTCGCTCTGTAGAATGTGGTGAGAATGGGTGGAAGGAGATGGGCTTTTCTCAGCTTCCGCGGGAAGTAGAGACACTGCTGGGCCTTCTTGGTTATGGAGCTGGACCAGGAGGGACCAGGAGAGGTTCTCCGCCAGGTGGACACCAAGGAATTTGGTGCTCTTGATGATCTCCACAGAGGATCCATTAATGTTAAGTAGGCAGTGATCTCTCTGTGCTCTCCTGAAGTCAACAATCATCTCTTTGTTTTGTCCACGTTCAGAGACAGGTTGTTGACTCTACACAAGTCTGTTAGCTGTTGTGAGTTATATTAAAAATAATCTTGCAACAAATAGATTAAATGTAACTTTACATACTGATAACAGTCAAAAATATAAACAGCTCATATAGGAGTACATAAACAATGTATATAAAGTGCAGAAGAGTAGCAGAGTCCTTAGTTTTTGGGTAAGCTTCTTGAAAGCACAAAGCAACTTTTGAGTGGTTCGCCTTGATATCTTTCTCACTGATTTAGAAATGTGACAAATCTCCAGCAAAATATACGCCACAAAACGCCAGATACTGAAATCAAGCAGAGTGATGTGATATCTCAGAACAAGAGTAATAAAAAAGAAGATCTACATGATGAAAACCAAAACCTGCAGAACGATCTTTGCATATTATCTCTGTGGGATTCGAAGCGCTGTGAAGAATAACATCAGTTTCTCGCCAGCTTCTGTCAACATTCCTGCAAAGATCATCAAAACATCATCATCATCATTGTTCTGCGCATAACGGATCGTGCAGAATACAGTGAAATTAAAATTGCTTTGGGTTTATTTAGGATTTCAGACTTTCCATTATATCCTCGCACCAGTAGCAATTAGTATCTAAATAAACAGGTCAGTCAACAATGAGTCTGACATCCGCTCCAGATGGCAGGAGATTTCCTCCTGTACTGCCCGTATTGTTATTTTTGCACAAGCAGTAAAAACAGAGACTAGACACTGTGCGGCCATGGAGGGGTATGCTGTTTTCTGTTTTGTTTTTTTCACTTTTCTGACTTCTGTTTTCCATAACCTAAACTCAGGATGTGCACATGGTATCACATCAGGAAGAACTCAGACTCTGTTTGCCGTTTGAGTATAAAAACAGATAAGTGAGGCTTGAGATCAATACTTCCTAAAAATGTCAGGGTGTTTATCTCTCACAGTGATTTCCTGGCTTGTGTACTTTGATTCCTCGAGACAAACTGTGACAAACTGTCAATATTAAGCACCGTTGGCCTTTTATAAGCACATCTTTCACTCTTTTCAAAGGGTAAAAAACAGGCTGATAGCCCATAGACTGTAATTCAACCATGATTGTCAGAGTTAATCATTTGGACTGTATATTCTGTATCTGACAAGTTTATCTGACACCTCGATGCCATAGATACACTTTAACTCATTTGTAAACAGGAAGTTATAAAGAGGAATTTTTAAATATTTTTGATAACATATGTGATGTTTCTATGTACAGCAGACTGCTTGAAAAGGAGAACAACAGAGGTTTTGTGGTGCGGCTAGACTGAGAAATTAGTAATTACTATAATTAATATAGTGTGTGTCCTCATGGTATTCTTAGTCTTGACATAAAGTCTGAACAAAGTTGTGACAATGCTGAGGTTATATTTGACAAGCAACACACATGTTGTAATTTGAAGCAGCGTAACAGTTTCTCTTTCTATTCAAGAAACAGTAAATTTCTTTTATAATACGAGTGCTAATATATTATTTGAATGAAGTATTTTCTGCCATAGCTGCTTTGAAAGATTTATGTGCTTTCACTCTTGTTATTTGTTATTTTTTTAATTTATTTAATTTTTTAATTTTGTAATTTTTTTTTACTTTAGGAATAAACTGACATGCAACTCTGTGTGTGTGTGTGTGTGTGTGTGTGTGTGTGTGTGTGTGTGTGTGTGTGTGTGTGTGTGTGTGTGTGCAAAGCTTGTTTGATTACTGTGCTGAAAGCCGGTCAAGAGCAACTCGTGTAAAAATAGGAAATTTGGAATGCACAATGAAAGCTGCTTACATCTGTCTGCAGTCATTTGGCATCATTTCCATGTCACCGAACACGGGGAAGATCCACTACACCAGCTGCTCTGCAACAGAGGGATGAAATCACATTTATAATCACTAAGAGTGACACGCGAGTGACATGAAAACAGAAAAGTTTGACGCAGCAAGAAAGAACTGCTCCTAAGGGTGACAGAAAAGGTATGCGAGGAATGTCACCTATCGTTAGCACACGGAGCCTGAGCTGTTGTTTTGGCACATCCTGATGCTGATTGTGACTGTACTGTGAAATCACTCACTGTAATCCCAATATCTAATGATTTGTGCCTTCTCCAGAGGAATCTTCTATCCCATCAACTGACTTTAAAGCTGTTTAGTTCTTCCTCTTTGTGGCATAAATGACACACAGCATAAGCATCTTACTCGGAAGAAGCAAACAAGCAAACTATGAAAAGAAGATATTTTCTTGTATGACTACTCGTGTCCCCCTTCTCCAGTCTTTTAAGGTTTCCATGTGACTCTCCTGGAGAATTTCTGCTCATTCTGGCTCTGATGATGATGACGGGGCAGCTGAATGCAGAGACTTTGTTCCACTAATGAGCAGTGACATGCAGCTACACTGACCTATGGTGACAGAGGACTGCCCACATCAGCAAAACAATGGACTGATGGAATCCCCCCTGAACTCGAGCTATGGGGTCCTGCTACACCCTCACTGTTGAGAAGGAAATGGTTACTCGTGTGACCTGAACTGGGTCATAATGGATGATGATTTATTGAATCAGAAGGGTGACTGCTCGAAGCTATCACAGATAAAGAAAATTAAAAGGGAACTTCACTGATACTACAGAAGATTTAACTCATTTGTCACTGTCATTAACAGTTGAGTGCTAGTTTTAAAAAAAAATGTTTTTAAGCCTCAGATGAATGTGCTTTAGTTTGGTGTCAGCACATCTTTACCTGGACTTCGAAACAACAGATTTAGAAATCAGCTCTTTCATAATCAAGCAGACTTTAAAACACACGGTGCTGCAAGGATGCATAAATTCATAATTTCTGCTGCATTTCTATTTGACCTGTCACCAAAACTATGGATATTACTGATTTGTATCCTTCTCGCTTGTGTATCTGTCTTGGTCATATCTTGTAGACTTCTTGATTAATTCAGTTCATTTTTTTATATATATATACAGGGCCACTTTGGAGCAACAGTTACCTCATGGTGCTTTACACTGCAGGGTAAAGAACCAACAAGATTAGAGTTAAAAACTCAAAAAAGTCAGATGATCCACTATTATAAAGAAATGGGCAATAGTGGGAAGGAAGAACCCCCTTTTTAACAGGAAGAGAAAGCTAGCAAAACCAGGCTCAGGAAGGAATAGCTAGCTATTGTGGTGAGTTGAGTGGTGAGAGGAAGAAGAAGAAAGAAAGGAAGCACAAAGAGAAATAAGGACAAATAAAAGGAGTGAATGAAGAAGAAATGCTCAGTGTGTGTCAGAAGTCCACCAGAAGTCTGAGCCCATATGCAAATAAAAGGGGTGGTCACCTGATCCAGCCCTAACTATGAGGTCTGCCAAAAAGTAAAGTTTTAGGTCTAGTCTTCAAAGAGGGGAGAGGGTTTCTGTCTCCTGAATGCAAACTGGAAGCTGGTTCCACAAGGGAGAGGAGAGGAGAGCTACAATGCTCTGCTCCCATTTTACTTTTAGAAACTTTGGGAACTAGATTGTGAAATCCTTGTGGGCTTCTATTTAAAGATATGATGATTTGCGCATTTTCAACTAAAAACTTCTTCTTTTAACTGACTGGGTAGTCAGCTGTTAGCTGCTAAGCAACACATCTAAGCAACTTGTGGCACAAAGTTGACGTGTGGAGTTTGAGTTGAACTTTCTGAGGGCATTTTGACAGTATTTGTGGTTGTTATGTATTATACGTTGTGAGACTGAGGAGACTATCAGAGATGATTCATCTCTAGACTTTCACTTTATGACTATAAAGAGTAGCCAGAGTTCAGTGCAGGTTTCTTTATAAACCTGCAGAGAGAGAGTTGTTTTTGTGGAGATGCATGCTGGTGCTAACCTCATCAACACAGAGCAGCCTGCTTTAGGCTTTAGGCGTGTTAATAAAAGGAACTATGCTGCCATCTTATGGCGACAACTGCACTTCCGCTCCGTCACTACCTGAACTTTCCCAGGGAGATCTCCGGGAGATCTGAACGCATCACAGTGTCAAACGACCAACACACCTGGACTCCTCACGCGGATGTGACGTAGCTTAAATCACCAATAGTTTATTTATTTATTTATTTATTTATTTATTTATTTATTTTTAGGGTTGTGCGCAGACAGAAAAAGAGAGGTAAGTGAACAAAAGGGATTTTGTGAACAAGTAAATTTTATGACCTCTGGGTGGCGCTGTAGTTATTCTCCACAGCAACAAAACCTTCACCTTTAGGCGATATCCACAAGGTTTGGTTTTGTGTCAGCTCCTTGAGATTTCCCTTAAACAGTCCCCTCCTTATCGAGTTTGCTTCTGACAAAAAAGAAGAAAAGAGTGTTACTGTTGCTCAGGGGGTTTTTTTACTATAAAGAACTGTTAAACTTTAATAAACAAATTCCAACAAAAAACATACACTGTGCTGCAAGCCAAAAACTGCTTCTTGGTCCAGTTTAATGCATCGTTTTCCTAACGTGCAATAGGTGTTATCCATTGCCCAAAATCAATATTCATCTGGTTCTAAACAGCAGTTTGCGCGTGGAGATCAGGCCTGGGTCTGCAGGCTAAATCTTTTGAGATGCTTTTATGTAAAACTATCCGCAGACAACTGGGACAGACAGACCTGAAGAAATAATGGAGGGTGGACGCGGTGGGGAGTAGTCAGTCGTGCAGCCCTTACTCATTGGTTGCCTCAGACACAGTAGCTCTCCCTCTCACTCTCTCATAAATGCGCTCCCACCGCCGACCGTAGCAGATAATCACAGGCCACTGTGAGAAGGACACACCTTGCGCTGATTTTGCCAAGGTATACACGGGGATGCGTTTTGATTCACGAAAGGGTGTCATCAGTGCAAGATTTGAGTCGTGCTTTACAGCCTGTCGCGCAATCGCCTAGGTCGCGATTTTTGCGATATTCTTTTTTTCCGCATAGGTTAGTGGGCTGCTCTCCCCCAGTTCCAAGATGACTGGAGTTTTCGAGAACTTAAATACTGATATGCATTCGAACCAGATTACCTCAAGCAATTACCACAGCTTGCACAAATCGCAGGAGTCCCCGACTCTGCCGGTTTCCACGGCGACGGACAGCAGCTATTACAACGGCCAGCAGCCTGGGCACTGCGCCGGGTCACCGTTTGGACAACTGGGCACTTACCAGTACCACAGCAGCGCCACGAGTTCTGTGCCATATAACGCAAAGTCATACGACCTCGGTTTCAACTCATCGTATGGTACATACGGTTCTTATGGCTCCAACTCATCGCCAACTCCCGCAGACACAGGTAGGCGAGCTCTCAAGTTCGTTTTAGAGCATTTTGCATGTATTCAGTGGCTTTGTCTTTGACCAAAACGCACTGCAGAACACGTCTGAGTTAATTTGTATGCACAGTATTTGACAAAAATATTATTATCTGACTAAAATGTATTGATGCTTTATTTTTCTTGTATGAATATGTAACACGATAAACTGTTTTATTTATTTCCAAAGAAAGAGCCTACAGATCCACAAAGTGGCCTATTTTGGCTTTTTGTATTTTTTTAGTAGGGCCTTATAAATATACATAATTTAATCAAATCAGGTTTAAGGTATTTGGGGTACACAAATCTGACAAACCTAAAGTGACAACAGTGCAAATACGCCTAGCAGTTCTGCAACACTGAAAAATGCCCAAACCCTTCGTGCCTAACGTGAATTGCATTTGAATGTTCCCTCAGAGAAAGATGAGAGCGAGCCAGAAATCCGGATGGTTAATGGAAAACCAAAGAAGGTCAGGAAACCTCGAACCATTTACTCCAGCTTCCAACTGGCTGCGCTTCAACGGAGGTTTCAAAAGACTCAGTATTTGGCTCTACCAGAACGGGCCGAGCTGGCAGCGTCGCTGGGCCTTACGCAAACACAGGTGGGTAGTCTGCATCTGTGGGCTCATGCGCTGTCAAATATCCACTGCATGTCTCAGTGTGAAAACAAATTAAAACTGACACAGATGGGATTTAAGGGGGAATATCGCTTATAATCGATTTTAAGCTTAAATTAGTTTCTTTCTTTTTTTTCTCAGGTTAAAATCTGGTTCCAAAACCGCCGCTCCAAGTTCAAGAAGCTGTGGAAAAGTGGAGAAATCCCCCCAGAACAACATGTTGCTTCCAGTGAATCTCCCCCGTGCACGTCTCCACCAACTACCGCCTGGGACTTTCCACAGACTCAAAGAATGAACAATGTCAGCTCTAGTTTACCTCAGAGCAGCAGCCCTCCAAACACGACTGCGCCTTCGTCGTTTTTGGCAAACTACTCCTGGTACTCAACTACGAACTCTACCACGCATCTGCAGCCTCCTCTGGTTCAGCATCACCACAACTCCGCCATAAGCGCTGGGACAATATTCTGAAATTTAAAAGAGAGAGCGAGCGAGAGAACGAGAAAACGTCGGGTGTAAATCGGACAATACTGGTGAATAAAGAGAAAATAAAATGCCATTACCTTCATTTTGCAGACCTCGTGCTTGCACCATACGAACTTTACGCGCAGCATCTAGGAGATTTCATGGAACCAGACAGGTTTATGGACCTTGCCAGTTTTCGTGCTTACAAATGGTAGACTCAGATTTCTACAGTTATTTTTGTATTTATTTATTTTGTTTATGTGAGGGATGAATGAACCACTATTACCCAAAGCAATCACAGCATGGGCGTGAGCCCATATACTTTTACTTGGACGTCACTTTTTCTTCTTCTTTCTTTTGTTTTTTTTCTCTTCCTTTTTTATATGTGTTGCCATCCCTGCAAAAAAATAAAATAAAATAAAACATGAATCGCAGGACAACCTGTCACAAATGTAGCACAAGTTAACTGTATGGTGCCTTTTTTGCAATATGACCTCATTTATGTTGTGCGATCAAAACAAAACCAGCTTACCTTTATCCATTCCTCACGTAGTTCATCTGAATAGTCCGGGGGGATAAGTGTTCCGATCCACGTTTGTAAATATTTTACAACAGCTTTTTTTTCATATCCCACCTTGCTTTGACTTAATTTTATTTTTTTGTCTTTTTCTGGCTCTTCATCCATTAACCACCGTGAGCTACTGATTGTCCCACCCTCTGACTTGTATCAACACTAAATTGTATTTTTTTTTGTTCTGGTCTTATTTATTTTAGCAGTGTTTCATATATGGCCAGATTTTATTTAAATAAAATGTTTTCTGTGCATTTGCATCCGAGTTTGTATGTGTGTATAAATACATTCTATGTTCACTAAAGCTGGATTTACCCTCTCAAAAAAAAAAAGTAAATAAATAAAAATAAATCATTTTAGAAAAAGAAGGCATGTCGATGCATTAAGATTTATTTATTATTATTTATTTATTCATTTAATTAAATTTTGTGCCTATTTTTTATGAAATGGGTTTAAAAATAAATAAATAAAAAATCTTAGGAAATAATTTGTTGTAAAAATGTAGCCTGTAGTTACATGAAGGTCTTGTGGCATCCAGGGGGACTCCTGAGTTGTCTCGGTTGAAATTTACTTCTGACTGCCGCCAGCAGCTGCTTATCCGAACCGAGGCTCGGGCAGGCAAGCAAGCAGAGACAGAGGCCCGGGGGGCGCACGCCGAGCTCAGAGCGACAACATCATCAACACGCCTTGGCATGCGAGAGGAGAAGACGAGGGTGGGTATGAATGAGCACAAGCTCGTCAGACTCTGTGGAGTCACAGAGCCGCTTTCCAGACGTTTTATGAACTCAACCTAACAAGAGAAAAGAGACAGGAACTCGAGAGCCAAGACAGCCTGCAGCTACAACATCATGGAAACATTTCTCACGCCTCACAAGCGAGGTCTCTGATCTTCGAAGACGAGCAGCTTGACCCACATTATTTGGCTGCTTGTAGGGCCTGTGGGCAACATGGAAAACACAGGCATACGTCCAAAAAAACATTTTATTGGAGCCATGCAGGAAACCCTGTTTTATTATAGATTTAATTTAGAAAATGTTTATTAGAGATGTTTTGACTCCAACAGACAGGTAGAGCGGGGCTCGTGTTATTTACACATGGCTCCCACACAAAGATGGTGATATACGGTGCATGGTCCCACACGCTTCTCTTCAAAAGACCACAGGCCATAAAGTGGGACCTCTTCCTTGTACATAATTAAGACTGCAGCTTGTCAGCGGTTGCTGTATCTGCATTATGATTGAAGCCCCACCAACCCCCCCCCCCCCACCAACCCCCACCAACCCCCCCCAGGGCTGACAGTATCAGACACATGCAGCCCCCTATGTACATACGTCTAAAAAATCAGTGTTACAAATAGTGTACAAGCGTGCACTTAAGAAATGCTCCAAAATAACACATTTTGCTTGCTTTAATTATTGTTTGCGTCATAAGATAAAATAGGGGGCGGGGGCGGGTTCTGGGTGCTTTCTGTTGCTCCCTGTGATTTCATTCATGGATTAGAGCTGCTGTGGTTTATACTTTTTGCATTTCTCTGGGCAACTTGTAAATGCCATACCCCCCTATCCTAATTTATACCCTGATCTGTAATTTCATCCAAATTTGCTCTGGTTTGAGCATTCTGGCTTTCAAATCTGAAAGCCTGCAATTACTATATAATTCTTCGCAATTTTAGATGTCCTAATATGGGGTGTAATTTTTACACAAGACAATTTCCCGCTATTTCAAGCATCAACATTGTCAAAGTTGTATGTACATAATAAATGGGAATATCAATGCATAGTTTTTAGCCTAACATCTTGACTCGACGGTAATTATATCCGTGTGGAGCCTACGCAGAATTAGCCTGAATTGCATGGTAACTGCTGCTTTAAATTTTAAAAAATTACTCATAATTTCCCCCAAAGATTACCAAGATCTCGAGTGCACAATGTCATCAGCGTAATGAGGAGTAAACATTTATGCTAATAATCTACATTTTTTTCCCCATCAGCTATAAAGAGGGGAAATAAAGCAGACATTTTCAGTCATATTCTGAACTCTGCTGCTATAGCTTAGACCGACACATGGGACACATTTTGTGGGATTTAAGCGCTCGTCTTGAGTCTGTGCTGAAGGACTGCTGCTGCTTCTTGCTGGTGGTGCTGATCTGCCTCCATGCTGATATCTGAAAATCCAGAGAGGGCAAACTTGTCTCTTCAATTTCAAGCTGAAAGGTGTGTACCACATGTTTATTTCTTACATTTTAGGGGCTTCGCCGAGTGCGCAATGAGGCTCGATTTGTCCATTTCTTTCATTGCGCACAGCCTTTATTAATTTGTATTCTCATCCGTGAATGATGCTGATTCTTTGATGCCGTTTCAAAGACTAGATCCTCAAGAAGCAGGAGGGGTAAAGAAAAATATATTACACGTGGACTATTTTATCCTCCAACTTCAGTGTTAAAGTGCAACCGAGGAGCTTCTTTTAGCTGAAATCTCCCATGGCTTAGAAAGCCGCTCACATGGAGAGAAGATGCAAGGAAGAGGAGACAGAGAAGTTCTTCTTTATAGTCGCTGCACTCGTTACTCTTACATTGTGCTTTGCTCATTTTGAAGCCTCTTCGCATTGACAACTCGGTGATGTACACCTGCAAGCAATTTGTCAGTCTTATACATAGGCTAAGTCTAAAGGGAACGGTGACGAAATGGCACCTCACCTATTTCACTTTTTTTTCCCCTCCTATTGCAGCAGAAAATGTCTTTCAGAGCGCTATCTCTTTTGTCAACGCAGAAAGATCCTCGGTGCGAAAAAAATTGCTCATAATTACCTCAGAGATAGGAAACTGCATTAGAATAAATAAGGGCGAAATTACTGTAATTATGCTGGGTTTGATGGGCTCAGCTCGTATAATCAAGGGGAGAATACAGCGAAATAACACTGACCCTCTTGGATGTGCAGCTGCGCCTTTTCTAAGGCTAGGTAGGCAGATTTATGTTCACTGCAGCAGCAGCAGCTCTGCTTTCCTAATGGTATCGAAATATACGAAGGCCTGTTGTAAATGTGAGGCTGCACACAAAGAGCTCTACATGTTTAAGATTTGTATTAGAATAACAAAGGAGACGGCATCGAAGCAAAGCATGCCATAAAAAACAAGGCTACTACTCACGCTTACTAGTTTAACGTGTTCTACAATAATAATAATAATAATAATAATAATCATCTTGTGTTGGTTACTTTTTTGGATGTTGGCTTGAGTCAGGTTTAAACGGACTTCGCAGATGCCAGAAAATAATATTTTTAGGCCGAATTTGCTATTATAATAACATTTATTTATTCATGGAGCTGTGACAGCTGCAAGAGCGAGCACATCCGTGCATCAAAAAAATTGTTCTTTCTTTGTTTTGTTTTTTGAATTTTTTTCTTTGCAGGCACATACAAAACTCTAATTTTTGTAATATATTTTTACAATTCTTTATTTTATTTTATTTTTAATTTATGTTAATATTTATTTTTATTTTTTTTTACTTTAATTTAATATTAATTATTCAAATCATTATTTACTTAATTACTTATATTGTTTACTTTGATTTTTCCCCAATGCATCCAAGTGTTATTTGAATTTCTATGAATATTGCTAAAATCCAACTATAATAAATGAATTTGTTTCCTATATCACCACCGAAATGCGCGCGAAAAACAGATCTCGTTCTTCTTTTTAAAATATTATTAATATTTATTTCATTTTTTCCCATGTAGATGGCTATTTCTAACCACAGCCTTCGGCCGTGTTAAACAAACAAGAAGGCCTTTGAACTTTTCACTCTCACTGATCTCCATCTGATCCGCCCTTTGCCAGACCTTTTTTTTCTTGTTGCAGCACCTGCCTCTTGAGCAATTATTCACTTAACACACCCAATTGATCTCTCTCATGACGAAAAAGTGAAAAAGTGAGGATCGTTAAAGAGTAGAACAGAAAGGAGGTTATCTTTAAGAAAGGGCTGAAAGGCGATTTTGCTGAATGACACAGTGGTGGTTAAATCATATATATATATATATATATATATACACTGCAGAGACTAGGCCTCGTAACAACACTATCTTGATGCATTTTTACATGCGAGGCCAGATTTCTAATTCTGAGCTTGACTCCAGAGGTCTGACAACATCTGCAGCCAGCGAGCAGCAGCAGAAACACATGCAGGCTAAACGCTAGACATGACCATAAATCTAAACGAGGACCCTTTTGCAGTTAATTCAAACGCGCTCACATGGTGTCTGCTACAATAGCCAACATGATACTCCTTTGTGTCAGCTCGCATTTAACCTGCACCACGCTGAAGCCTTTCTTTTCAGGGGCGAGGGTGGGTAGAGGAGGATGGAGGGGTGGTGGTGATGGCGGTATGGTGGAGGAAGAGGTGGGGTGAATCAGACACCGTTCTTGACATAATTTAAATCATATTTTACTGCTTTTGAAACTTTGCACATTATGTACATAAACTTCAGAAACAGATAAATAAATTAAGGTGATCAATACAAAACTAAATATTTCCTATGTTGACTAAACACATTTCGACGAGTAAGCTACACAAAGCCTAAACCCTGTTTCACAGCGTATCCAGTATACAGCACAAAAAAAGGAACAGAAAAAAAGAAAATTATGTACAAAATACAGTGACAAATGAGCTGCTCACCCTCAGGACAATTTTTTTTCTAAAGCAGCAAATCGTCAGGCCTTTTACATTTTTCACATAACATCGGGGCACGGCATAGAAAAGCTTTGCTTGCGTTAGTGCAGCATTAACAACACAGTGTTGTCATTTCAAACACGCTTACAAACTGAACACAGACTGACCTCAAACAGAAAAAACTAGCCCGAATAATTTAACTTAAATAACAAACACGTAGAAACAACATAGTAGCATCTCGAGGCTCTGCGCACAGCAGCCTGTGCTCTGCGGTTGAATGCGCTGTGAGTGGAGCGGCTTGATGGCTACCGCTGGAATTTATCGTTAATTATTTGGTTAGAGAAACTCTGCTGTGGCCTAAGTGGCCCTTTTAACTGTCGATGAATGCAAATTGACTTTTAAGGCCGTCATCACCTTGGGCCCCGACAATCTGGCGTAAACAAACACGTGTTTTCTAATAAACATGTAGCCTACAGCTCAACAACCGAAGTGTTCACACAAATATGAGTTTGAAAACAAACAGAAACCGACATTTGGGGGAAAAAAACCAAAACAAACAAAAGCAGCCAAAAAAAAAACAACAAATGATCCTTTTGTCTGCGATTTCCGCTGTCAGGGACGGTCACGGACTGGTTGCCCTCTGGCGAATTGTGCGCCTTTTCACTCTGTCTGACCTCTTCTCTTCTTCTGTATCTCTGCTCGCCGTCTTCGGTATGAGGAGGCCTCTGTGTCAGCTGGCGGGATGCGGCAGCAAACTCCGGGAATCTTGTTGTTTGTTGTGCATTGTCAATGCTGAGCCGCGCTCAGCGGCTGCTGGGCCTTTCACCATCCTGATGCTGAGCTCTCTGCTCACATGAGCTGTGACTGTTGCATAGACTCTTGGTGTGTGGTTGGATACCATGAGGTGTAGCTGGGAATGTAAGATCCGGTCGTGCCCATTGAAGTCTTCACGGTGGTCGGCGAGCTCCAGACAGGTGCCACCGAGGGAGAACCACTGGAAAGTCCACGGCCGGTGGCCAAAGCGTTGCTGTCGATCGTACCACCGCCTTGCTTCATCAGCTTCTTGAATTTGGATCTTTTATTCTGAAACCAAATTTTTACCTGCAGATATTTTTAAAAAAAAGAAAAAAAAAAGAGAGAGACATTAAAATATATGTAAATATATATATAACCATTTTACGCGGTTTTACGCACGTGAAAAGTGAAAAGCAAAACATGATAATAAAAAATATAAATTATCTTTATTAATAAACAACACTAAATAAATTATAGTCTATAATAATAATAATAATAATAATAATAATAATAATAATAATAATAATAATAATAATAAAATAATAATAATAATAAGAAGAAGAATGTATGCTGTGAGAGATAAAAACATTTAAAAATGTGCAGAAATGCGTCGTTGGCGCAGCTGCGCAGTGAAGCTATGTGTGTGCGGATCACACTCGCCTGTGTCTGGGTGAGACCCAGCGACGCTGCGAGCTCAGCTCTCTCCGGTAGCGCCAAATACTGAGTCTGTTGAAATCTCCTGTTCAGGGCTTGAAGTTGTAAACTCGAATATATAGTCCTTGGTTTTCTAATCTTTTTCCCTTTGCCGTTGAAGCGCACCTCTCCGCCTTCCACCACTGTGTTTTTCTCTGTTTCTGGCGCTGGCAGAGACACAGAAGAAAGCAAAGAAGAAGAAGAAGCAGAGAAGGGGAGAAAAATGAGGAGACAGTTGTAGCAAAGAGTGCTGCGCAGCAATGAATACTGCAGCGCAAGTTTTACAGGCTGTACTTTAGGTATAATTACCCTTAATTGCATACATTGTTTATAGCCTTACGCAATAAATAATTACCAAGCCTAATTCCACATCTGGGTCGTCTTTTTTGCCTACACCGTCTAGTGGAAAGCCGTACCAGCACAGAAAGTTGATATTTAGGATCCAGAGCACTCTGTGGCACACTTACCTGCATCTTCTAATCGTGTCTGCGTGAGTCCCGAGCTGTTTTGGTAAGTCTGTACTGTGCTGAGATATGGACTGGTGGAATGGCTGCCGACGGAGTTTACGTATGGATAACCCAAGGATCTGGGGAACGACGAGGCTGGACTGTAGCTGTCGTGCTGTGTGTGACCTGCAGAATGTAAACAGTGCATGGGATAGTGTCCGTGAGACATGGAGGAAGGCGACATTTGTTGACTCGGGGGTCCAAACTCCATGAAAACGGTTTTTCCTGAGGCAGGGCTATTAAGACTTTCTGGAATCGTAGTCATTGTCATCTCTTCTGGCGGTTCCCCTTGTCTCGCTTTTGTTGTTTTCCTTCTATGATCTCAGTGAAGGACGGATCCCAATTTAAGCCGAACAGATTTTTTCTCTTTCCATTCATAAGAAAATGTAGTTTGTGCCCGTGAAAAGTCCTAGGAATGATGCTGTGGACCAAGACAAACTCGCTCAAAGGTTTGAATCTCGGACTCATGAATATTCATCAAGACTGTCGCTGATTGGTCCACTCTCTCCAAGAGGGAAGCCGATTGGTGACGCTGGGGCTAGGTCCGAAGAACCTGATAAAGTCAAGGAAAACCGCAAAACCTCAGATTTCCTCCTGACATGTCAAGATTCACCATAATAACATGATATTTTTTTTTGTTGGAAATCTTTGTACTCAAAAAAAAAAAAAAAAGGCCAGTAAACTTAAATATTCGGCTGCTCTTTCTGCATTAAAGCCTTTTTTTCTTAAGATGATGATCACAGCTCCCAATGCTGCATCAGGAGTGAACGCGTATTAGCATAACACTAGCGTTCAATTTTCATAAGTAGGCCTGTAATTAGTCATGTATTTAACACTTAGTGCAACTTGAGGTCTCACCTGGCAGCAGAGGGACTGAAACAGCAAAGTCTGCAATGATGTGAAATGAGAAGCTTCTCTGTCTGAGGCCTGATGATGACAAGAATAATACCAACTAAAAAAACAACAACAACAACACAGCATCACAGCATATTACGGCAAATGTAGCAGAGCAATCCCTTTAAATTAAACCCGGGGATACTGCTTGTAATTTAAACTACAGTTTCCAAATTTAGTCTTGCAAATTTAGGCAAACTTGCGGTTTTATTTTTGCGCATCTTTTTTTTTCTTTTTCTTTTTTGCCTGTTTTATAGGCCGGATGGACACGTTTTCTAGTCGCATTTAAATGCTTTCCAAACATCTTTACGCACCCTTTTTGCCGCAGTCAATTTACTGATCACAGTTTAGTTAAACACCGCCACCTTTGATTATTATGAATCTAAGTGAGGATGGGGTGCGGCCAGCCTCCCACAGCCTAACAAGAATAATTGTCGTTTGATTTAATTGAACTTACTACTAAAAAGACTGGAGGCAATTTCCCTCAGCGGCAGATTTAGAACAAAATTCAAATTGGTACAGGAGCTGCAATTTAAAATATAGATACACATACATATCTGTTCACTTACTCAATTTTTTTTAAGTCATGAAAAAAAGCAAATAAATCCGCATCATCCGGGGTCAGGGAGCCTCCGCGGGATGCACTTGAAAGAAGAAGAAAGTATCCAGCAGCAGCAGCAGCTCTTCATTTTATTAGGCTTCATTTGTAGGCTGCTTCTCTTCTGGTGTCTGCGCAGAGCAGAAACACAGCCTGGCTGCTCCATCCGTAGTCCCTCCATCTCCACCTGAATAACAAATTAAAGGCAGTTAAATTCCGTCACTGTGATTATCAGTATAATTACATAATTGAACTCATAGCAGAACTAGCAAGTTGCAAAATGTGTTATCAAAATGCAGGCGCTGACATCACGGCGCGTGTGCCACAATGTGCCAGGCGGCTGCGGATGCCTGAATTTAAAGATTTCTGTGAAATATTAGGCTATAACGAAAGCTGGTCCCTTGTCCCCCCTAAAATAGGCCAATTTGAAGTGATTTCTCTGGAATTACTTTCGAAAAATGCTTCAAGATTTCCTCTATCAACAACGACAATGATAATGGTAGTACAACCAATAATTATCATCTTCCAGAACAGAGGACAGATTTTTATGGGTACTTGGTGGGTGCGACTGATAACTGTCATTATTTTCCCACGATTATAGTATCTACAGACAGCTGTGAAGCAAAACCATTAACAGAATAGAGGCAGAATTTGCAGAAAAATGTAAAATAACACCCTAATAATAGCAATAATAATGAGAGATTTTTATGTCATTTGGAGACGAGGAGAAAAACATCCTGCATAAATTATATTCATCCCATTGATCCTTCTTGCAGAATCAAACATTTACAAACTTAATTTGACAACTATTTATTTCCTATTTAAGGGGGAATTTTTTCTCTCTCTCTCTCTCTTTTTCAAGCCATCCTCGGTGTGGCTCGGACGAGGCAGGCGCGGTGATAATATTACCGCTTTCATTAATAATTTGACTCCTGCGCACGCCGGCAGGAGGGCAGCGCAGGCCACAGCGGTCCTTCCTGCAGCGGGGCAGCACGGCTCTAACTAGCCACACTAAAAATAAAGTCCTCCATGCATGGATGGAGCGCGGAGGCAGGACTCATTAGGAGTGAGTAGCTCTGTGGCTGAGGGTGTTTTAACACCTGCTGCTCTTCACCTGAGGGTTAGTGCAGAGGTGGAGAGACAGAAAGAGAGAGGGGGGCTGCTGCTGCTGCTGCTTGTGGTGGTGATGGTGGTGGTGGTGGGGTAAACGGCCAAGATGTCACAGACTTCATTTCAGTCCGGTGATAGAAAGCCCTCCTCAACTGCCATACCAACCCACATTTTAACAGCCGCCAAATATTACCCCGACCGCGGTGCGCTGGTAAACTGTGCATCCATGCTGTGTGGAGGCTCAGCTCCCTGTGCACCCTGCAGGCTCTGCATGGGAGTGATGATTAATTACCAACACTGGAGGTGCAGGGAAATTTAAATCCTTTTTTAAAAAAAATAAAATCGCAATTCCTCTTCCTTAAACTGCAAAAGATCAAATATGCCTATTAGGATATGTATATTTTCCCCCTCCTTCTGATTTTAGAATTTCTGAGAATATTGAATTATTTCTGAAGTGTGCAAATCCTTATTTTTTTTTATTGCTATTATTATTATTTAGTTAATTGTTATAGGGCACAGATATCTCAAACAGCACTAAAAATATAACTGATGTAAAATCTTATTATTATTAATAACAATAAAGATGAATACAGCAGGCCTCAGCACATCATCAAATCCAAATGCAATTCGGTGAGTGGTCTGCAGCAGAAATGTCAAACTATACGAAGGTTGCATTTCACGTTTTTAAAGGCAGCGGATCAGACAAGTGAAATTGCCTTTTGTCCTGCTTCTTCTCTGGCGTTGCTTCGCGCTGCCATCCTGTAATTTGCAGCCTCAATGAACGAAAACTAGATGCACTACAATTAACTCGATTCAATGTCTATTTTCATGTTCAATGCGGCATCAAAATGCGAATTGATTTTGTTTACCGAGTTACGTGTAAACAAAAAAAAAACCAACAAAAATGAATCATAGTATCTGAGAGGCAAGATTGTCGCATTGGTTAATTTATTGCATTATCATAGGGGTCAAGAGGGAGAAGATGAAATCATGTTGGGTTTTATTTGACTGTTTATATAAAACAGAGAAGGACGCAGAATTTATTTTGGACAGCTGAACTCAAATTTGTTTGGTGTCAGTTTCTTTCCCTCAGAATATGTTTTAATAGCTAATGGTGCATTTCTGTGTGATAATCGGAGTTGACAGTATATTTTATCAGCTCATCATTTATGTTGTGTGAAATGAAAAATTGTAAAATATATTTAGAGTTTTTCATTTTCATTTTCTTCCTGTATAAATGTGACTTTTTTTCATTCAATTTCACATCCTAATTAAAACATGCTTGTGTTCCTCATTTGATTTTAATTGACAGTTTATAAGCACGACAAAGTTAACTTTGGACTTTGTCATATTTTAATAGCAAACTAAAATGTTTTTTTTTTCCTTGTTTAAACAATTAAACAATTAAAAAAATGAAACTAAGAAATTGTTCGGGATAACAATCATTATTTTTGTTTGTTTTCAGGCTTTGGTGACCTCATGAGCTCCTGCTTCTCATCACTTTGGGAGGAACTGGACAATCTGGACTTGTTGCTCCGGAAGTGACTGACACTCTTATAAGTGCTGAAGCCTGGAGGCAATAAATCAAATTGAAAATATATATATTTATATATTTGCTTGTTTTTAAAATATCCTTTCTTGATTTTCACACCTGTGGAAAAACATGATGTCCAAGTCTTTCATATCCAGCAGGGCCTCCCTAATATACCTCTAATATGCTGGCTGACTGACTTAAGGTGGCTCATTGCAGAGCTGAAAAGTCACATTTCAAACTCCTTTTTTTCTTTCCATCTCAGTGCTCGGAGCAGCTCTTTCTTCAGAAAGCTGGGGGTCACGGTGTGGAAAGGCTCCTAGTGAACTGGTAGAAATGCTGTCCCCATTACAGCAGCAGCAGGGGTCAGGCCATGGCAGCAAGCATCCAACCTGACCAAAATTGGCTGCAAAATGACCAATTACCTGAGGGAAGGCTGGGGAGAGAGGACTTGGAAAAATATGACTTTTACTTAATTCAGCTAAACTGTAAAAGAAACTAGTGTCAGGCGGATGCTTCATACTTGTGGACATATTGCAGAGTCCCACTTGTTAAGCTCCACTTTCACGTTAACAAATTAGATGGAGAAAAAAACGAGTGAAAAATTAAAGTCTTAGTCTGCGCAGTGATGCGAGAGAGATGGATGACAGGGGTAGAAATCAATAAAATGCATCCATAACGGAGAATTATTTCACCTACAGTAAAACAACGATTGATTAAACATCTTTACATGCAGGCCTTATTGAATTAATTTCCCCACAAATGGAAAACATGCAAATTCGCCAATTAAGTCATTTGCCCATGGAGAGCTGGGCTGCTTGACGTTCAGCTGCCACTGCGCCTTTAGTCTGAAACCCTTTTTAGTTTTTGTTAAGAGTTAAGTCTCCAACAAAGACAGGAAGGAGGTCAGCACTCAGCCAACACCTGAATGCGCCTCTCTTTTTTGTGCTCCCCTTGATCCCCACAGTCTGTGCCTGTCATTAGTCTTAATGATGGAAAATTGTCATGTTGATACAAGTCTTGCTCTCCCCCTCTCTTCTTTGTATAAGTAGAAGGTGGAAGCTCCATTTGTAACAAAGTTCTTTGTGACTAAAAGCCGTGGACATTGCATTTGTGCTGGGGGAGAAAAAAGGCTGTAGATGCTCTTTCCATAGCTGGGATAATTATTCCTACTGTGACCTTAATGATTCGCTCTGTTCATCCTGCATCTCATCCACGTGCCAGGCCCTCAGCAGAGCCCTGTGTCAGGGAATATGAAAAACCCATATAATGAAACCATTTTGGCTGATGGAAAAAAGGGGCTACTGAAGCTGCACTTGCTACAAAGACGGCTCAATTATATGAGTAATTGTGATAATTTTCCCTCCATTCACTGCCTTCTCTGAAAGGTAAAAAACACAGATGCTGAAAGGGAAATTACTTGGACAATATATAATCTGTGAAATGGTCACAACAGAAAAAAAAAAAGATGACTGTAAGAAAGTGTAGGACTATAAATAGGTATGTTAATGCAGGGCACATAAATACACCCTCAGAAGCTCGCAGACATAAACAAACAGCTCTACACTGTGCGAGCTCATGTGAAGAGCAAAAAAAAAAAGCAACAAATGACCAGTGGGGGAAAAAAAACATGATAAAAGTAGATATGCAGCTGCCAGAAAATTAAACCTCCTTCTCCTTCCTTTTGACAAATTTCAGCTCCTGAAAATGCACCCCCATAGTTGGCTATCATTTGTTGTTCTCTGACAGGAAAAGGATAATTACCTCTCTCAGAGGCAGGAGGACTGACATGCCCTTTAGACTTTGCCATGAATGCAGAAGCTTGATAGAAAGCTTGAGGAATAATTTTGTTCTTTGGCTTTTCCTTTATGTTCGAGAGCATGTTTTATTCCGAAGAACTTGGAGATGGCAGTATTGTAGAGTGCATTAAACCATGAGTGTTCCTACTGTAAATATGACATCCTGGTGTCTATCAACGTCTCCATTCGGGAGGGGAAAAAAAACTCTGAAATGCATTAAAATTTCAATTTCATCTCGCTGCGAGACAGACGAGATAGTGAGATATGCATTACTTTTTCCTTTCGCAGTGGGTGTTGGATTAAACATTTCTCCTTCCTTGGTGGGTGAAAAAAATATAAAAGCATTTTTTTCTGTCAGGCAGAAACGTGGCTGTAAATCCAACTTCTGTGGAGACCTAAATGCATTGTGTTCTCAGAAGCAGCCCGCCTATGTAGATCTCCATTAAAGGAAACATTACATTAACACTTGCTGTTGTGTTTGAATGAAACAGCAGATGAAGCAGTAGTCAGATATCCACACTAATTGTTTTTAACTCCCAGCCAGCTGATTCTTGTGAATTGTTTCATTATGGACACCATCATTTCCCCCCTCCTTAAAAGAAAAAGTCCATTTTTTTTCCCAGGTAAACCTCCCGCATGTGCATCCGCTGACCCCTCGGGCCCTGCAATCTAGAATAAATCTTTCCAGACAAGCTGAGCAACATTACAGCCTTGCAGCTCAAACACTTGTATCGCACTCAAATGATGAGTCTCTGTCACACACCATGTCATCAGTTTCACCCCCAACCCCCCAATAACTTCCGTCCCATTGAGCAGTGTTGTGTGTTACGGGGCCAAGACAGCCAGAGACCCCCCGGTCTTACTTGATTGTGCCTCCAGTAACACAGAAAAGCAGCTAGGTCCCGGCACAAGCCTATACTCAGCTTCATTTTTGTGTAACACACAAATACACGCACACACGCTCTCTCCATAAACCACCAATCTCAGTTCGCTGCACCCCACTGTGAACTTCCTGACAGCCTCCAGAAATGTTTTCAAGTTGTCAAATCTCTACGGTAATAGTCTGGGAGCTGAGAAAACAACAAAACAATAATCATGTGATCAGATATTTAGGTTATGTAAGGACCGTAAGAGCCTGTTTGGGTTGCATCTCTCGGGCTCTTTCATTTGCTGTTTTCACTTTGTTTCACATGGAAAGCTGGTGAGGTATTTAAACAGTTTGGACTCCTTGGCACTGAACCAAATTGGCTTCTCAAATCACTTTACTTGCTGTTCTTTGCAGCAGCAGCAGCAGCAGCAGCAACAGCTGAGACATTTGAGCACAAATTTGTTGTTTTGCAAACAAGTTTATGCATCCTGACCGCAGCGAGGGAGCGTCTGAAAATTATTAGGCCAATTAAAAGAAAGGCTGAGGTTTAATTTCATCTGTCAGGCTACGACACTGGTTACTATCTTGTCCATATCTCAGCTGATGGTCCTTAGGGACTAGTAAAGCGCTATATAAATACAGGCCATTTACCATTTAATGTGGCACTGGCTACAACCTCAAAAGTCCAGCTATAGGACTTTAGTTCAATGTGCTGTAGTTGCTCTTTTGCTTAAAGCCCTGTGAAGCTGCTGTACTTATTTGGTATACATATATGTATGAATGGAAAACTAGCTCCACTTCAGCTGATAAAACCGTGCAGTTAAACACAAAATACATGCAAAAATGTGATTTAGGGACTGTGTGAAAATTATTGGGGTCTGCAGCCAATTATAGCTGGAGAATATGACACCATCACAACTCACCTTGGCTGTAATAACCAAAAGTGCACACTGGGTATGAGACAGTGTGTCCTAATTTCACATACATAATCAGAAATCCAACACGAGAGGAACTGGAATAACAAAATTATGCAAACAAAAATCTGTGGAACAAGAACTACAATGTTAAATTTATATTACACATTAAGGCGCACCACCCAGACTCCCCTGGTTGAGCCGGTGACCCACATGGGTCATACTCCCCACTTCCCACCGCTTTCTTATCATTTTCTGCACCGCCCTGTTTAATTAAGGCTAAAATATTACACATTTAATACCCTTTCAAAACTTCTTCTGTTAAATTTTAGAGCAAAGTTGGGTTGCATATATGTTTCCTCCTATACTGGTATCCTAGTTTAGCTTTCGGATGATTTTATTCAGGTGGGAATAAACCAACAAAAGTTTGAATAGAAAGTTTAAACTTTTGCAAAATGGGAAACGCATAACCCTCGCCAATATGTGATCCCTCTCATCTCTTAATTTTCCCCACCGGCTCTTACCCTTACATTTTTGGAGAAAAAAATATTCTCCCAGCAGCGGCAGCAAGAAAACTCCAATCATCCTCATGTGATTCATAGATAAAGGCATAAATGTAGGGTCTATACTACTGCTCCCACTGACCCTCAGACACAGGTGGTCTGATTTTGTACTTCATAACCAGCAGTCTGATATAAACCAGTCTGACCTACAGCTGTACCTCACAGATATTACTAACCAGGGACAGAGAGCCTCGTCTTCCAATTACAGGCTGAGCTTCAGGCTGTGGTGCAGCCTGAAGCTCAGCCATCTATGGAGAAAGCTAAGACAAGGCTGTCAGAGACTTTAATAAATGTAGGGAACACTGCATGGGAAAAGTGTTGCTGTCTCAATAGAGTGACACAGACAAGCCAAGGCTGTCAATGGAGCCCCTAATGACAGAGTAAGATAATGACAGACCCCAGTTAGAATCAGCAGGAAGAGGAAGATCAATCTGCAGCCAGAGAGGGAGGGATGGAAGGAGGGGGACAAAACTGTGGGCTCTTTCTTTTCTATTTTCTCACTTTTAGCTCATCTCATACATATCTTTCTGCTGCAGCTGGCTCGCATCGTGGCGGGGCAGCTCTGCATTAAGCGCACAGTGGATCAATAGCCATTACAACTCCCTCACAGCCTGACACATCGCAGGGCCACAGTTGACATTTCACTCAGGGCTGCATTGATCCCCAGTGCACAATATTCCAGCCCCCAGTTAGTAGCCGAGCCTGGGGTCTGGCTGGAATTGAAAAGCGAGGGAGGGGGGTGTAAACCGGCAGAGGGGTGGCTAACCAGCTGCCCGTGCTACAAGTAAACAGCACACCCCTTGATGCATTCCTCGTTTTCAATCTTCTGGTTTTCCTGCCACCACTGGCAATCCGAGAGGCTGTATCAGAGGATCAAAGCTTGACCTATGTGAATTATTTATACATGCGCCAGATCAGTGTATAC